TATGGAATCATAAAGAACCTTGAATAGTCAAACAAACTTTTTTAAAAAACTGAACACAGTTGGAAGGCTCATACTTCCTGATTTCAAAATGTAATACAAAACTACAGTAATCGAAACAGTGTGGTACTGGCATAAGCATATACATATAGATCAACTGAATAGAATAGGGTCATCATATACATAGTCAACAAGGGTGCCAAGATCATTCAACGGGGCAAGGAGTCTTCGCAACAAACGGTGTTAAAAAAAAAAATGAATATCCAAATACAAAAGAATAAAGTTAGACCTCTATCTTTTATTATATACAAAAATTAACTCAAAAACAGATCAAAGGCTTAAACATACACCAAAAACTATAAATGCCTAGAATAAAAATTCGAGGAAAAGCTTCATGACATTGGATTTGGCAATGTTTTCTTGGATTTGACATCAAAAAAGCACAGGCTGGGCCGGCTAGTTAGCTCAGGTGGTTAGAGTGCAGGCTCATAGCACCAAGGTTGCCGGTTCGATTCCCACATGGGCCAAAGAGCTGCTCCCTCCACAACTAGACTGAAGACAACTGCTTGACTTACAGCTGATGAGTCTTGGAAAAGCACACTGTTCCCCAATAAAAATTTCTTACAAAAAAAAAAAATCACAAGCAAATAATAAAAGTTAAAATAGATAAACTGGACTACATCAAAGTTTAAAACTCTGGGGCATCACAGGACACAATCAACAGGGTGAAAACGAAACCTATGGAATGAGAGAAATCATATGAGGCCTGACAATTAAGTTCGAGAACTTGTTGGAACAATGTCGCTAGACTTTTTTGATATCAGAGGGATTACTCATTATGAATTTGTACCAACTGGACAAACAGTTAACCAAGTTTACTATTTGGAAGGGTTGAAAGGCTGCGTGAAAAAGTTAGACGACCTGAACTTTTCACGCCAACAATTCATGGCTCTTGCATCACGACAATGTACCAGCTCACACGGCACTGTCTGTGAGGGAGTTTTTAGCCAGTAAACAAATAACTGATTGGGACATCCTCCCTACTCACCTGATCTGGCCCCCAATGACTTCTTTCTTTACCCCAAGATAACGGAAAC